ACGAAGTTGGTCGAAAGAGGTCATGTCGCATATCATTCGATTCGGCAGGTCTTCCGGAGTCCATTGATGGCTTTCCCGACTCGCTAGCTCAATTTGATCGGGAGTTATTGACGAAAAACTAACATGATCTTGATGACGTCATAAATGACGTCACGCAAGGTCAACATTGTAAAAGTGACGCATCTCACCTTGCAAGGAGTGCATCAAATCACGATTCTATGTCCTTGAGATGGTTGGAGATCGTTCCCGGCGCCAGAATAGCAGTTTTCATTTTTCCCCATTGACTTATAATGGTGAGGTCACGAAAATGACCTGACCTCATATGACCTTTAGGAAAAATCCGAGATATACAACTTGTGAGACTCGTAATGGATACTAGATCCTGCAAGTTTCATTTCCTTGTGAAAGCTCCTCTGGCAGTGAGGGCGTCGAATTTGCGACATCTGAGGACCGTGCAGAGGTTCACTTATGACGTCATAGGTCAGTGACCTGACCCGACCCGAGAATGCGGTTGATGTCAAAAGATCCGGCTTGAATCAAAAGTCAAGTATGCTAAGTTTCAACTCTCTATCTCTAGCGCGTTTGGAGCTATCGCGAAAAAAACCCTAGGGGGGGGCGGCACTCCCCCCTCGGCCGGCGAGGGTTAAAAGTGGTTCAAGGTATCATTGGACAATGTCAAGATAATTACAGGAAATAAACAAAACTTTGAAGAAGAAAACAAATCCGTAATGCTCTTATAATACTTCCCAAGTTCAGTAAGACCGTAAAATCCGAGGTCAAACTGGCATCAAATAACGGCTTGTGTGTGGCCTCACCTTTTGAGCACACATTTGAGGTGTGTGCTGCATGATGCCTTCGCGATAAAAGTGGATTCAATCGGATGTGGTCGTACGCAAAACGAATTGCGTGGAAAAATTCGCGTCAAGTTCATTTCAGTTCTGATTTTCATTGCTCAACACTGCCGTATTCCTTCCCTTGTGCTTTAAAGTAGTTCCAGTTATGCATTGGGATCTTTCTCATTACGACTGAGACTGGATTACATGCAATAAATATATAACGAAGGAAATATAGAAGCCCGGTTACTTCCAATTCATTTTTACAAACAAGATATTTTCGGGCAGCACTGATGGCGTGGTGTATTGTGTGAATCGTTGCCAAACGATCGCATGGTCGAGCATTATGGACATTATGCAAATGAGTGGAGTAGTTTCATGTGCATTGTGCACTTAGTGGCAGCTCAGACTGCAGCAATTGTACCTCAATGTGCCGATTCTCCTTGAAGCGGGCCTTCACCCAGCCTGGTCGCCATGCACCACTGAAAAGTCGGGCTGGGTGAGAATAGAGCTCGTTAGGTGCAGTTAATTGTGTACTATAGGATCATTCGAAGGCATCACCAACCCATGCAGCTCGGGAGGGAGTAGAGAGTCAAGCCACCATTGCTGCCGAATGTTTACTGTAGGAGCTGACTGTAGGATTGTAGGAGCTGACAGTTCATGGACACCAGCGGTAAAACCAATTGATAACACCACGTGGTTACAAGTTATCCGTTAGGTGTTATGTTAGGTGGGGGCGGGAGGGGGAGGAGGAGGGGTGCCCCCACTCCCCAGGAACACCCGGGAAGCCCCAACCCCGGGAAGACGGGACAGGGATGCTCCGAGGGTCGGGCTACGTGCGCTCTCAGTACGGTCGGTTAATTATCCCATAAATTAGAGAATGCCATGATCGAGTGAAGCTTGCTTAGCTTACCCCAACTGATAACACAGGAAAATATCCACCTAATTAAAAACGCAATCAACCAGGACGCATGGAAGCTAAGATAAGCATATTCGATGAGATCATCACTTTAGGTTCAGCCAATGACGATGCACAAACGCAAAGCGATCTGAAGGAAAGGTGGGGCGGGCAGACTAAGCAAGTGCCGAGGGATCATGCTACACGGAGATCTAACCACTCAGCCTCATAATTCGTGACCGCTGATGCCTACCCATCATGCAAAACCGAACAATTTAGAAAAGGAAATGGCATGATATCAAAACAGCTGAGTTATGACCTATGGGTAGTGGGTACACCTCGGGAACACATCGACCAATGTTAAGACGGAGGCGCGAGGTCAGAACACAGCACTCTTTTCAGCCTCTAGCCTTCTTCTCGCGCAAGTTCACGCCCACCCAACACCGCTACAGCACCTTTGGACGTGAATTGCTCGCCATGTACCTCGCCGTGCGACATTTCCTGTCGTATCTGGAAGGACGCGACTTCGAGCTACTCACGGACCACAAGCCGCTTGTCTTCGCGCTCAAGGCCAACAGCAACGCCAACCATTCTCTCCGTGAACAGCGCCACATGGACCTGATTTTGCAGCACACCAGCAAGATCGGACATGTCCCAGGACACCTCAACCCGGTAGCTGACGCCATCTCACGGATCAGCTCAGTGTCTGCGCCGGCTTCTGCCGCAGCTACACCTTCACCCGGCCTTCTGAGCTTGGCCGACATCGCCCTACACCAAGCCAACGATCCTGACCTGCCGAAGCTCCAACAATCCTCATCTCTGGTCATCCGTGACTTCCCAGTCCCTGATCACCCGCATCTACGTCTCTGGTGCGACACCTCAACGGCCCCACCTCGACAGTCCCAGCCAGACTCCGCACTTCCATCATCAAGAGCTTCCACGACTTGTCTCATCCTGGCATCAACGCTACGCGTCATCTCGTCTCTTCGACGTTCATCTGGCCCCACATCAACGCAGACATCCGTGCCTTCGTCCGTAGCTGCCAGCACTGCCAGCGTGCCAAGATCCAGCGCCACACGGAGCCACCCATGGGCAGCTTCCAGCCACCTGACTCCCGGTTCCTTCACATCCACATCGACCTTGTTGGACCACTTCCACCGTCACATGGTAACCCCTACCTCCTGACTGTCGTCGACCGCTTCACCCGATGGCCCGAGGCAATCCCTATGCCCACCATGGACGCCGTCACTGTGGCTCGGCATCTTGTCAGCGGTTGGATCGCCCGCTTCGGAGTGCCGGAACTCATCACCACCGACAGAGAATCTAAGTTCGAGTCCCGCCTCTGGACGGAAGTCTCCAAGATTCTCGGCACCTCTCGGATCCGGACCTGCGCGTATGTACCACCCGGAAGCCAACGAGATGGTAGAGCGCTTCCACCGCCAACTGAAGTCAGCTCTGCGGACCGATGAAGACGCCGCCTCCTGGTCGGAACGACTTCCTCTGGTGCTACTCAGAGTGCGCACGGCCCTCAAGGAGGATCTCGGATGCACCGCTGCTGACCTCGTCCATGGTTGCAGTCTCCGGCTTCCTGGTGACTTCCTCTCAACCATGTCGTCGGGCACTTCTTCGTCCTGGCTCCCGCCAAATCTTTATCTCCCAAGACATTCAAACCTGAGGCCTCTTGCACCAAACTACCTAGCTAGGTAAAATCGAAAAACCGGTTTCAGAATAAGCTAATCTAACGGTGGTAAATTTGTTTACAATAGCCCAGTACATTGTCCTACATGTGCTTGCTAAATTTTGCACGCAAATTGTTACATTTGAGACTTGGACTGGGAATACGATGCAAAATAATCCAAGCATTGGTGCAAGAGGATTTTGGTGCAAGAGGCTTCTGCTCTCATGCCTTCATCCGACGCGATTCGCATCGCTCGCCGTTCCAGTATGTCTATGACGGTCCTTACCGTGTCGTCTCCCGTGACCAGCACACTGTCACCATTGACCTTCTCAGCCGACGCGACACCGTCACCCTGGCTCGTTGCAAATCGGCCTTCACGGACCACACGCCTGCCGCAACGCCGCCTACTGCGCCGGACATCCTGGTGAACGACACGCCTGCTGCAGCGCCAGACAGCTCGGTGGACCGCCCGCCTGCTGCAACGCCTGCACCCAGCCGCTCTGGTGCTCCCGGTGGCTCTCGCCCGCATCGCCGTGTGCCGCCGGGCCCGCCGCCTGCTTCGCCACCCCCTCTGCGTCGTTCGTCGCGTCTTCGCCGCCAAACATCTTTTTATGGTGTTTAACTAGGGCGGGGGAGTGATGTAGCCATGTACTTCTGTCGGTCACCGCCAGGCCAGTTTACTTCTGCCGTTCACCGCTAGATGCGGTGAACTGCTAGTTGTTACTTTCTTAATAGGTGTCGCTTTCCACTTGTCTCTAAATCACTGACAGTTTTGGTTTAGTTCCGCGTCCCCTTTATCATCCACTTAATTTTAAGTTCTGAATGAGTTGGGCCCTTGTAATAGCTATGTTTTACACCAAAGAATAAATATTCGCTTTCTACATTCTATGTCGTGCCTGACAACTGCCCAATATGAAACAACTGAGGTTATGTGTTATATTATGTGTCTCGATTTTGTGGCAAAATACAAGAATTCTGTATAAACAGTTTTTCTTCTGGCTACACCAGACAGAGCACTGACTCACACAATCAATTTTTATGAAGTTAGCTGAAGTGCTTGTAAAGTCGGATTGATGGAGCTTGAGCAGTTGAGCACACAGAAGGCTGAGTTGGACACATAATATCTGGCCCTAGCTGTCTGACTCTGATACCTGATCAGCCAATTCAAAGTAATGAAAAACACAAGGCTCTCATCATCTCATGATAACAATGAGTAGGTACCCATTCCAACACTACCAGTACCAACTGATCTGTCACACTTCACAGTGGGTGCCAAACCAACAGGCTACCAGCTTGAACTAGAGTGTTAAAATGGAATGGAAACACCAGGATATAAAATGAAATTACTTTTAATCGTCATTTGCCTCCAAGAATTAGCATAATTGACATACCTACAGCCCTCGTAACATATTAAAAGAAGGAAAATGATCCTGGAATAAGCATCATGCCATAATCAGCAATTTCCATGCATCAGCATAAGAAGATAAACAGCGATGCAAATCAAAATGCCACAATCATTTGGAAATAACTGTTTCAGATTCTAATCAATCAAAATCAAAATGCCTGAACACGGAACGCCCGTGAATCTTACCTTCGTGGAGAACTGTGAGGCCAAGATGCTGGAATCAAGATAAACAATAGCCGACTAGCAATGCCAATTAATACTTAAGCACTTCAGACATCAACACACAACATTTATATAACAATAATCGTCGTTTCTCCAGGGCCTTGGTTTCTCCTACCTTATTTTGCAATTGTTTATCCCAATCCTAATAATTAGGAAAAAGTGTCATTCGTGTTTGTCTCAAGTGCGGCTGAATTGAACGATCTAGGGAGTGCAGGATGAAGGGAATTTGGTAAGGAACAAAAATGCCTTCGAATCATCAGGCGATGTCATAAATCATCCAAAACTTGACAAATATCAATGAAAATAGGAAAATGAAAGGTTTATGCACCTGCCTTGGAAAATGTGCGATTTTTCATCACTCATGTGCCTGTGCGTCGTCAATTTTTACCAACGTTAAACAACACCAGCGGCAGCCACTGGCGGTTGCAGCCGCTAGCAAAAGGGGGGGCCAAAGTCACACTCGCGGGACATAACATTTATCCGTCACCGGAAGGGGGGGGGGGGTGATCGGCAAATTTTTTACGTCCACGAGGCGCCGCACAGTTGGCATTACTTATGCTTCATCCATCTCATTCTTGCGTGAAATCTTTGAGCTCAATTTAAGGCAAAATCACCAGTTCCATTTACCGTCTCACGGTGTGCCCACCGGTCGGGCCGCTGCACCGTCCATGACGACGGATCGGTGTAGCCAGTGTTTTTATATACCTTGGGTGTAGCATAGGTATAATACTGGAAGGTCAGGCACGCGGATTCATGACCTTACCACTATAAAACAATTCGGAAAAGTACAGATACATCTTGCTAAAAAGTACAGATACCTCTTGCTTTGAACAAGCATGTGAAACCCAGAGAGCATTTTTAGACTATGACATATTTACCCATATACATAGGTACCTAGTTGTGTGGCGGCGGGAGAGAGTAGGTACACCGGCCTCTGGAGACCCCCACAGGTTCCGAGCTTTCAGAATTGGCATCTGAGGGCCGCGCGCGACTCCTGCGGGGCTTCGCAACGGCTCTGTTGGGGCTCACTCAACCTGCCTAGTCCTACTGCTAAAAAGACTGGCCCTGAGCCCTAAGGACTTCATCAGTCTCTGCCAGCCCCAGGACCCACACCGGCTCATGGGGTCCCGACCTCGAAATATGAGGGAATCAGCGCGGGACCATAGGACGTAAAGCAATCTCGATCAGGACCAACGTAAGGCTGTGCCGGAGACTGCGTGAGCCCTCTGATCTTCAGAAACCCACCCATGTATGTTTTCATGTAGAGGCTAGTTTAGGGCCCTCAGAGACCAGTACAGGGCCTGCAAACTACAAAGGCCAGTAGTTTGAGACCATCAGAGACCGAGTTGGGCTCTCAGAGCATAGGCGTCGCCAGACATTTTCGGTTGGGGGGGCAAAATCAAGTTTTGTGTTAAATCTTGCCTTTCCCCAGCCGTTACTCACTCGTTTTACATATCATTCGACGCGCAATGGTGCGAGGAATCCGATGGTGACAAAGTTTTCCTTCTAGCTATAGCATGTATTTTTTTTTACAAAAAAATCAAAATTTTGAAATTTCTGGACAAAAACGACCGTTAGAATTACAGTGGCTGCGATTGCCGACGCACTGCAGAGGGCCCCTGTGCAGACTCTTGTCGCTCATGATCATTACCCAGAAGAAGGTGAAAAACGCTCCATTTGAATCGGATCACCTCGCTAAAACCTCCATTCACGCATGAATGCCCAGGTTTTACGTGAAATGCATAGGGCTTATCCCAGCCGCCGATTGTAGCTAAGAATTGGGCATTCGGCGGAGACTGAGAGAGAATGTCGGAAGTGTGAATCGGAAGTACATCATTCATCCTTGCTGCAGTGAGAAGAAATGTTTTGTTCACTCGAGTGTGAACAAAAAGTTTCTGGTTTTTCGAGTGAAGGGAAGCGCTGCAAACGCGACCAAAAATATTTAACGGAACCAAAAGTTACGCACGGCATAGGGGCAAGGGATCCCTTAGAGATAGGATTGCGACTTCCAGGCCATTTCAGGCCACTGAGGGTCAGTGTGGACTCTCAGAAGCCTGCTTAGGATCCCGGAGATCGGCGTGGGTCACCCCAAATATTTACGTGTATGTGGTGCTTTAGGGCTTTCCGAGCCTAAGGTGGGCCCGGAAAGCCCTTTAGGGCACACGAGCTTTCAAAAGCCAGTGTGGGCGGCGGGCGCTAAGAGACTAGGCCCAGGGTGAGCCTGGAGCCCTCGAATAACAGTGTGAACCGCCGGGGTCTGTGTCGAATCCTTAAGGACACTACGTTGGTAGGGACATAAGAAACATGTGTTGCGGCCCTCAGAGGGACACGTGAGTTGTGACCCCTCAGATGCCGGGTTGGGGTTTAGTAAAGTCTGTCGCCTCAAAAGTTCGGCTGAACTATCATAGGCCAGTTGAGGTTTTCAGAAATTTTCGAAGACATCCTCAAAGATTCGTGTGACCCTTCAGAGGTCTACGTATGTATGTATAATGTCCTCAAAGATCCCTGTATGGGCCCTCTAGAGAACATGGACACCAGTGGGACTCTCAGAGGCCGGTTTGGGCCCTCCGAAAGCTTCTTAGAGCTTAGTGGAGCTCCTTAGGAGCCTGTGTGAAAAGCAGGCTCATGAGCCCTGCGGCACTTGAACGGTACTTGTGCCTGTCGCAGACATTTGACGAGAGTTGAGAAAGGCCCGAAGATTTCGTGTCACGCTTTGAACGAAAATTATGTGTCAGCACTCCAAAATTTATGAAAATCAGCTACAAAATGTAATACAGAACCAACTAGGAACATGACATGAATCATGGCATTGACATTTCCGAGTCTGGAGTCGGAGTCTTGAAGATTTTGGTGACTGCGACTCTGACTTTGGTTTGAACTGCACGCTCCAACAGAGTCTGACCTCACAGGCATTCTCAGAAAGGTACCCCCATTTTTTCCCCGACTCCAAAATCTCATCGGATCTGTATCGATCTCAGGGGGTGCCCGGTCCGAGGTTGGGGGGGCAAGCTGCCCCGCTTGCCCCCCCGTGGCGACGCTAATGTCTCAGAGGCTAATGTGGGTCCTTACTCATTACAGGCCAGCATGGGCCCTCAGAGGTCAGCGTGGGGCCCTAAAAGACCGGCATGAGCCGTCGTTGGACCCCAGAGGCCAGCAGAGGGCCCTCAAAGGCCAAGATGGGCCCTCCTCAGAGGCCAATGCAGACCCTTAGAGGCCGGCGTCGTGTCTTCAGCAGCCAGTGGCCCTTATTGGCACCTAAAGGTTCGTCTTGGGACACCAGAGACAGAAATAAGGCCACCAGAGACCGGTGTGAGACCCTCAGACGCCGGTTGGAACCCCTGAGGCCGGTTAGGGGCCCTCATAGGCCAGATGTGGGGCCTCAGAGGTTGATGTAGGCTCTTAGCGGTCAACGTGGGCGCTTGACCGCCACTGCAGTTCCCTCAGAGGTCAGTGTAGGACGTTCAAAGACCGGCGTGGGAGCTATATTAATAGCTGGGCGTGGGTTTTTTTTAGCCTCGTGACGATCGAATAATTGCCAGGGCCCCATACACCTATATGGGGGCCCATTGGTTGTTTGAGGGGGGGGGGGGCAAATGATATGATGGCCCCCTTTATTGACCTTTGGGGGCATGGCCCTGATGCCCCCCCCCGGCCCCCGCGACCGCCACTGTGTACACATTACACACATGCCTCTGAGATTACATACTAGCTCATGCAAACTCTATGCAGGCCCCGGAGGTCCCCCGCTAATCCTTAAGAAACCAAGCCGGCATACGGCGTCACCACCGGGCTTCTGAGGTGCACAGCACCAACCCATGAGGTCTTACTTTAGTGTCTTGGAGCCAATCTCCTTTAGCAGGGCCCACCCGCCACTGCCGAAGAGGGTCTCATGCCAGCCATTGCTGAATGCTGGGCCTACGAGAGCCTCAAGTAAACTCACGCTGATATTCCATATAAGATCCGGCCATACTCGTGAACCGGTGCCAGCGACGCTGACCGCCAAATTGACAGAATGCGAAACTGAGCCCACTCATGAGTGAAATTTACGTCCTTTGATGGCGCAAGAAAGAAAATGAAACATACGAAAAGCTTTTCTAGGAATTTTGTTCGATCTGAAAGGTGGGGCCAAAAGATAGTATGGCCCCACCTTTCAGCACCAAAGGGGGGGGGGCCATGGCCCCCGTGGCCCCCCCCCCCCCTGCGACCGCCAGTGGCGGCAGCGGCAGCGCAGGACGATCACAAGCTCATGGGGCAGCATGGACTAGATAAGGGCACCCGGACTAGTGTCCAGTGCGAGACCCCGGATCCAAGCTAGCCACCAGGGCCGCATCAGTGTCTATAGGCATCTCTGAGCGATCATCCGGCACCTCGTTGGGGTGGGGAACGCGATGCCCGAGGCATATGACAAACCAAGATGACAAACCATCGATGAGGCCTAAATCTTTTGGATGCAATGCGGCCGATGCGATATCATGAAAAGAGCACGCCAATCGACACCGAAAAAGGTATCGAAGCCCACCCCTCAGCCTGATGATACCTCAGGGCTGCGGAGTCGGAGTCGGAGTCGGGTCGGAGTCGGTCGGAGTCGACAGTTGTGACCGGAGTCGGAGTCGGAGTCGGAGTCGATTTTAGAAACCCGAGCCGGAGTCGGAGTCGGAGTCACCGAAAATCTGTCGACTCCGCAGCCCTGCTAGGTCTGCGGAGTCGGAGTCGGGAGTTGGAGTCAGTCGGAGTCGACAATTCTGCCCGGAGTCGGAGTCGGAGCTGGTTTTTGAAAGCCGGAGTCGGAATCGGAGTCGCCGAAAATCCATCGACTCCGCAGCCCTGCCTAGCATGTCATGGAATAACCGCAATCACTACACAAACGATCGACGGTTGCCTATTCGGATCGATTTGCAGAAAATGACCGTTTTCTACATACTTAATTGAAAAGAGATGGAGCTCGGCCGCCTTGGCTGAATCTTGTCCCCGATATTCACTGAACCAATCCCTTCAACTTCACGATAAAATACATAACTCAGGGCAAATGCAACAAAAAATAAAACTTCATGCAATTCAAGCATGTATATTTCTAAATAATATGTAGTACCAGACGCATAAGAGCAGGCATATCCGGACAGTTACAAAATGAAGCATCAGTCTTCATAACATGAGATCGACGTACCAATGGGAAGTCAACGAAATATTCGTCGCCTACACTATCAGAGTGTTATCCACATAGCGTCACAGCATGCCTATCACAAAACACCGAAATGAACAAACATAAATCAACACACGAATACAAAATATGCAGGCATGTAACGCTTCTTGCCATCAGGCTGCAATCATTTCATCACAAAATGTTTTCAACTCAAGGCAACATGTTATCCCCAATCCCCATTCCTAAATCCATCCTTCCACGGAACGATCACCGTCCAGCCACCCGGCGGTCGGCGAGCCGAAGCTTCAGTTCCTCTATCTCCCGGTAGGCGGCAGCAGTGTCGCGCTCAGAGCGCTCCAGACGCCCGGCCAGCGCTCGCAGCTGTTCAGCGGCACTGCTCTGCACGGCCAGCGCCGCAGAGAGGGCGCCACTGTCGCCAGTCGGTCCGGCCGCGCCGGGCAGTAGCGGCCCCAGCTGACCGAACGGGGTGGTGCGGTACCGACCCCCGCCAGGCGCGCCCAGGTTCGCCACCTCCAGCCGTATCGGCGCCAGCACTCTGGCACACAGCGGACGGGGCAGGGCGGAACGAGCATTATCAGAGCAAGCACTCCGTTGCATATGTGGCGGCGGGGGAGGGGTATAAAAAAAAAACAGCGGACGGTTAAAGCTATGCGTCGGAAGAATAATACAGGAGCTCCGTCGCCCGCTAGCGTAACCAAAACAGAAAAATAATTTCGCAACTGGATCAATTTGAAATTGCTTTCTCCTTGATTCACTAAAAGGCACTCCTTGATTCACTAAGTAACAATTATATTGCACATTCAACTTTTTCCAGAAACCAACTTACTGCTATCCAGCCTTAGCCCAACGAGAACTTTTGAGAACCTTTGAGACCCAACGAGAACAGACGAGAAACGAGAATCCCACCTCATCCCAATTCACATTGCACAACCTCGAAACCCGCCTATCCACGAGCCCACCCGATCTTCACGCCGAACCCACCTGTCTCTAAGCACGAACGCCTCCTGTTCATGTCGCAACACCTTCTCCACCACGTTATCCGTCATCAGCAGGAACACGAAGCCTGTCTTCTGAGTGGCCTTACGGCGTCGGTGGCACAGCTCGGCGTGAACAGCCCGCTCCCGCAGACTGGGGCAACAGGGGCAGGCGCGGCGGTACCGGTACCAGCCCACGACCAGATCCTGAGGGAGCGCGGCCATCGTGAGGGTCGGTAGAATAGTAGCACGTAACCTCCAGTCCAGTAAAAGAATAATGGAGCTGTGACATTAGCAGACGAGTTAAAATACAGACTTCATGACGTATCATGCAGACACATCAATGGCAGGCAGATATCTGATGAAAATTTACAAAGAAAATGAGACCATCACTGATCGCAAACCTCAAGCTTCTAGCCGTCTTATCAGAGCAGCGCCGCTGGTAACAGCTGGATATGTACATTGTACATGTTAACTGAGGCGACATTTCACAATACCAGCAGGCGGTATGCCTCAAAATGTCACCAAATGGCATATAAGGTCCGTTTAACTGCAGTCTGCTCGTCAACAGCAGCACTGTCTGTAGTGGCGTCTCACCGGATCATCGAAGAGCGATGTGAGCTTCTCGTTATCCAGCCGTCCGGTGTTACTGTAGAACTCACCCGTCCGGCCACACGACAAGAAGTCAGAGAGCACTGCAAAGGAGAACAAAACGGTCAATGTAGACTGGTAAGTCATGAAATAATATAAAGCTGTAAAAGATGAGCAAAGAGGTCGGCAGCGCCACCCCTACCATTCGCTGGTCTGAAATCAACATTTGACAACACAGTTCAGGAAAAGTAGGTCCACCTGTTGAGTCATTGTAGTTTCATCCATCCTATTAGATCAGCTGGTAGAGCCTACGTGTAATGGCGTGCGTGTCTGTGGCAGGGGCCGCACAGAAGCCAGGTAACGTGAGTGAGCGGAGGGGGCCGTGTCCACTGTCCAGTCGTGAGGGCAAGTTAAACGTTCGGACAAAATTCTGCCATACAACTGGAATTGCGCGATCGGGTGGTGGGGTCATGGTCAGGACAACAAGTTATGCTTAGTGCGGGCTCTGACTCCTCAAATCCGCCCATTCAACCATTAGGACTTCATTAAAACAAAAAAGAATTACCAATGTTGAGTGCCGGACCCAAGGCACAGAGTCACTCCTCGGCATCTGATGTAGGACTGCTGAATTTGATGGCCAGTGGGAAATTCACTCACCAATGCGCGTCTGCTCCAGTGGGATGTCACTCTGTACATCATTATTCACTTGGACGGTTTGAACTACTGTCTTTCCAAGCAGGAAGCCTTCCTGAAATGGAGAATAGGATAAGACCACAAATGCAAAAACTGAGTAACTGCTACATTTAAAACATCTGCAGCATGCTTTATGAGAAGTTTTAGGGATATTAAAAGGGATATCATTATCAATCAGACAATGATAATGTTGTAAGCATCGCCTTACCTTGTCACTTCCTGGTTGCAGGTTATCTGCTAGAAGACTAGACAGAAGTGTTCCAGTCATAACAACCACTGTGTCATGGAAAGTGTCAGAAGTCATCACTTTATTCTTCAGTCAGGTAGTCAGGGCAATTTGCTTCTTCTGTCAATATTAGGATCTGAAATTCTGAAACATCAACATGCGAAATATTAACTCAGACACTCAATATTACACCCAACACTTAAGCACAAGTTATTTTGACACTCGATGTGTATGACGGAAGTTGATAATCTGTGGTTGGGGGAGCATTAATGAAGTAGAGCTGATCAGCACTCATTTGGCATTCCACAATCTCCTGTGGTCCACACTCTACAAGCAGAGTTCAAGTCAGAGTATATCATATAGACCACCATTCAAGTTTGAGTTCTTAGTGGGAGCATAGTGCACTGCAAGTGCAGCAGACTCAGGTGTGTTGTGTCTACATTCTGACTACTGGGGTGTTCAAACAGCAGATGAGATTGGTAGACAAGCTCCTGCCCATGCTGCAAAACTACTCGAATGAATTTGATCATTTTTTTCACAATTTGATAGCTCAAGCTGGGAAATAGGACAAGCGCTGACCTTCAGGCTTCCGCTTCGAGCAACCCACAAAAATAGATCCAGGATGTATGACAGGCCAATGAGCTCTCATGCCTTCATTGCAGTTAACTTTATCCTAATATCAGATGCAGGCAATATTTTTATTACAAATCAAAGCCAACTGGTTTTTTACAGCCTTGGTCCAGTGTCCACCATTGGAATCAGCCATGCAAAAATCAGTATTCTTCAGTATTCTATCTCCCAGTCTCCCTGGCCTCAATATTCAATATTCACTTCCCATCAGAGCAGCACACAACAACAAGCATTAAAACATAATATCGACCGATTAGAAATTCAAGTTGAATTCTCTATATACCGTGAATTCAAGTAAATTCGGTAATTTCAAACATAACACTACCGAACTTTCCAAACTGGTTGGTTGGTTGGTTTGGGTTAAGCACCACATCCAGTGGACCAAGGTGCTAACCGGAACTCTCACGCTGTTCCAAGCGGTCAGGTAGCGGCAATGCCACGTGCATTGCCCGGGAATCGAACCCGGATGGCCGAATCTAGAGGCAAGTATCTTACCCCCACGGTGACTATAAATACCCCTAGACCGGAATGCTCCCCAACTTTCCAAACTCAAACAACGTTACCGCCCCAGAATCGATTTGTCTGTGATGCGCTGGAAATGTATGAAGACTCACTGCCAAATTTTTGCTGCCAATTTAAAGGAAGCTTGGGTAGCGCATAATCCTAGGAAATAATCCTACCCAGGATATCCATGATATCCCAGCATCATGAAAGATGAGTTAACAGAAGCTCAGCAAAAACTTAACAACCGATGGATAGCCCCACCCCGGGAAGAGACCGTTTAGATTTTGCTTTGGATCGTTGTTTCACAACGTGGACGGTTTATCAAAATTGAGCAAAAGCCTAAATATTTGCCCAGCCTTGATAGTTGATATCGTCATACTCAGGAACACAAACGGATCGCATCACGGCCAAACACTCAATCGACGGATCTTCAGGTTATACTTTTCGTGATCGCTGCCAAATCTCAGGGTAGAGTGAACCAAATCTAACCGACCGCCGCCGCATCTAACCGAGAAACGAGGTGTTACAACCAGCCCACCACGCATCACCATACAAAAACGTTCCACAAATCTTATATTTAAACATCTAAATCTGTCACACTCGTACAAAACAAATGTCTGCGACTCCCCGAGTCGAACCCGCCCCGTCCAAGGTCCGTCGCGCCATATTATTTACCCGCGCGAACCACAACACCTCGTGAGCGATCGCCGCTCACCGTGAGCGATCGCCGCTCACCGCCGCTCGCGCGTCACCGAGCGTCTTCTCAGAACAGCAGCGTGCTCATGCCGCCCATCTCGCTCTGCTCCTTGACGAAGATCTCGAAGTACTGGTAGATGATGGTGACGGCCAGCAGGATGCCGGTGCCGGAGCCGATGGCGCCCATGAAGTCGGCGATGACGGACAGCGCGCCGATGCAGAGGCCGCCGAACGCCGCCGCAGTGGGGATGTACCGGTTCAGCTCGTGGATCATCGACTTCTCGCGGTGGCCGCGCATCACCATCTGCTGCTCGCGCAGCTGCTTGGCCACATCCTTGGCCGACGAGCCGGACACGTCGATCCACGTCTTGCTGAAGAAGGCGCACGAGCCCAGCATGAAGACGATGTAGAGCAGGGCGTGCAGTGGGTCCTCGGCGATGTGACCGAGCGACTCGGGCGGCGAGAGGTAGTAGCAGAGGCCGCCGATCGGGTACGAACGCGCCGGGCCGCCGCCACCCACGTCACCCCACACACCCAGCAGGTTGACGAAGAAGTTTCCGTGGAACTTGACCGCCAGCATCTGCGGGGTGGATCACAGCAGAGTTAGCACGAAACATAGGAGAGACATCGCATGGGGGGGTACACTGTGGTATGTTCAAAATGGTGTACCGGTATCTAAGACAGGAAAGTTACCTTAAATTATTATTACAATACCAGTATAACGTCACTGAAGCTCTATTTCCTCAAGTCCTTGAGGTGTCGCACAACAAAGTAAACGAGGAAATCGTACTGTGCTGTCCAATATAAATCGATTCACCACGTTCAGCAAACACTGTCAAAAGCATTGTTCGAATAAAGTTGCGTAGAGGAACCTTGTGCGTGCAGGTCTTTACCTAAAGATCGTAGCCACGCCAGCGGACTTCGTCCCCGCTGAAACGCCGTACCTGTGAGATGATGTAGAGGTTGGAGACGAGCGCCGACTGCAGGATGATGGGGATGTTGGACGTGTAGAACAGTTTGATGGGGTAGCTGCTGTACTGGCCGCGGTAGCGGGCTGACTTGATCGGCAGGTCCACACGGAAGCCCTGGGAACAGAGTGATAGCGTCAGTAAATAGACCATTTGTCATATGTGGCCTCTAAAGTATCAAAAATACTGACTAATGAGTGGCATAAGCAAGACCAGTGCTTACGTCATCCCCAATTAAACATAAAACATTATCTACGAAATACCCTATGAACGAAATGCGTCCGAAAGTACGCGACATAGAAATTAATTGGCACAAATTTGTCGTAAAACGTCACCAACGTATGGGACTAAAATACATCCCCCATATTTTCCCAACATCAGGAGGAAGAGCGGCGGACGTCTGTCCATCTGAATCACCTGGAAGTATATGACCACGGCGAAGATGACCAGGGTGGAGAGCAGGTTCATCAGGTTGGGCAGGTTCTGCCGGTAGAAGGCCTCGCGCAGAGCGCGCACCTTGTCCTGGCGCGTGGCCAGCAGGTGGAACAGCGCGATCAGGGCGCCCTCGAACTCGGTACCGCGACCTGACGGAGTGAGAACACACCAGCGGTCAAACACTGTTCCGTTTTACGGGAGACATGAGAAGCGAGAACACAACTCAGCGGTCAAACATAGCTGTTACGTTTTACAGGAGACAATGAATTAGCGACAGCCATCTCGGGGAAAGCAGGCCGAAGTTTTATAACGCGAGCGGGCAGTCAGTCAGTGTCACATATTGTCAAGTGGTTCCAGATCTACAATACCTCCTCCATTTACATTCAACGAAGGACAGATATGAACACATGTCTGGTGAGGGTTGAATGAAAGTACAATGCGGCTCGACAATGATAACATTTTTGATGTGCGTCTGTCATGGATATCGACGTTTTTCGTGTCTACGGAAATATGCACGCTAATAGCACGATCAACTAATACTTTTACCCCCACCCCCTCCCCGGTTAGTACTATAAATAGTCGTTAAAGTACTATAAATAGTACTATAAATAGGCGTTATAAATAGTCGTTAAAGAGCAAGTAATGAGAGCAAGTATGAAATGGGTGATGGACAATTATTGGCTAGCATTAGCAGTTAAACAGACGTCACTCGACCCAGCCGTAAACTGCATGCAGCTAACGAGTTATGCCCGTGCCCAGCCAGCGAGCCGACCAACCGGTGTTGACGGTGGCCGGACTGAGCGACTTCCAGACGATGGTCTCGCAGATGTTGGTGGCGATGAAAAGCGTGATGCCCGAGCCGAGTCCGTATCCCTTCTGCAGCAGCTCGTCCAGCAGCAGCACGATCAGGCCGGCCACGAACAGCTGCAGGATGATGAGCAGGCACACGCCGGCGCCGATGTCGTACGGGTCGCCGTACATGCCCGTCAGCACGTACACGATCGCCTGGCCCACCGTGATGATCATACCGAACACTGCAGCAAACAGGGAGGGGCGGGGTGGAGGTCAGTAGGTGGGACAGACCAATTCCCAGCAAACGGACGAGACGGACAAACCAGAACGGTGTTCAAATGGAAAATTCAACATCCAGCTGACTGATGTATGAAGGAAAAGTGATTTCCTTTCAGTATGAGCCTTGATGAACTGCCCAAATATGTATAATTGTGTTCCGTAATTATTGTCTGAGCCGTGCTCGGCCAGTGGCCACGAGATACCAATACTATATTTCGTTGTTTCCAATCCCTTCAGGTGCAACATTCACCTGTCCATGTAACTGGATACAGAGGGAGCTACTAAAAACAACATAAAAATTCGACAGTTCACAAAGAGACCCCTACGCACTCCCTTAGCCCTACGTCTGCCTCGAGCTCCGTACGTTTCTGAGCGCCGTTGAAGAGGGCGCGGTCCTTTGGCGAGTCGCCGACCTCGATGATCTTGGCTCCGGCCAGCAGCTGCATGATGAGGCCCGAAGTGACGATGGGCGAGATGCCCAGCTCCATGAGGGTGCCGCGGTTACTAGCCAGGATCACTCGGATCCAGTAGAACGGGTCGGCAGAGTCGGACGACATGATGCCGAACAAGGGAATCTGCAGAGAGCCGAAAACATCAGCTCAGTAACATTGGTCATCGGTACGATAAACTATATAGTCATTATCCAGCTCGGATAATCCATTACCCAGCTGGGGCAGACACACAGACCACACGGGATCACATGAAGATGCCCATTTTTACACTATGAATCCTATAATGTTTAGTTTTTAAATACACTTCTTTAAGCTTCATACAACACATTCATTCAACCATAATAAAGACATTTTGTGTTTTAAGGCTGAAGAAGAAGGCTGAAAGACTTGAAATGTCTCTTTATTTTCTCTCTGAAAACTGATGCTCAAATAATGCCTAACCTAATTAATATTTTGTTCCAAAACATCTATATTCAATACTTGATTTAGTTATAATGTACTAATGAACTGGTAGGTTCAATGCATAAGTGCCAATGCTTCACCTTTGAAATATTTTATGAACAATCTGATGTCAATGATCATACCATACTAGCATGAAACAGTAAAAATGGCCAAATTAGAGCTTTGTTAGTGCATCAAAGCTCTAAATACATCTTTATGACCTGTGCTCTGCATGGATCTGGGAAAATATGGATCAGATTCACCACATCCTAACCAGATACAGTTGGATCATACATAACATGGTTACTTAGAACCAGTATAACGCCTTTTGGGGCGACTAACGGAGCGAGCGAGAGGGTGGGCCTTGCACGTGCGAAATTTCAAGGGGGTACCTCCAACTGACTTGTGCACGGCACCCTACTGACCGGCTTCTAGCGATGTGCCAAATTTGAGCACAATCGGCCCAGCCGTTCTCGAGATCTGGGAGCGGCATTCTGCACGTGCGCACGTGCAAAATGGGTCCCAACTGACTTGTGCACGGCACCCTACTAACTGGTCCCTAACCGTGTACCAAATTTGAGCGCCATCGGTCCAGCCGTTCTCGAGATCTGGAAACGACACCTGCACGTGCGCACGTGCAGCAGCACCCCAACTCTGGCATATGGATATGCAGTGCCTAGTGAGTGCCTACCTTCATGCCAACTTTCAGCGCAATCGGCCAAGTAGTTACCGAGATATTGCAACAATTACAAAACTGACACCTCTTCGTTTTGCACGTGGCACGTGCATAAGGGGTCACCCACATGCATCGGGAATAGTCCAATACTTGGTAGAAGGAATGAAGCTACCCTACAAAAATTACCGCGTGTAAATCGGTCAAGTGGTTGCTGAGATATAAGCCTCGCAAAAGCGTCCGCACGGCCGGCCGGCCGGCCGGCCGGCCGGCCGGCCGCTCATACTCAGAAATTTCCGTTAATCTAAGGAAAGACTCCGCTCGCTTCGCTCGCTCCGTAACTAGTTGAGCTGGGCTGATAATATATAACATTCCTTTCATTTAGATTAGGAGACCCCTTAGGCCAGGAGTGTGAGCAATGAGCATGTGTTTGTCAAGACATCTAGGTCAAGCATGGACTTCTCTAATTGAGTACTGGCTGCTGTAGATCATGGAATACATGGATCCTAAAATGCTTCCGTTAGGACCTAAAGCTCTTTCTGTCCTTGAGGAGCATGCATTGCAACAAGCACATCATACATTCACTGTTATTACAGTGAATACATTACAGATCTGTCTCTGTCAGTGGTAACAATTAGCATCTAATTATGCCCTGGTATAATCATGGTCTTGTAGACAGCAGTTTGTCTTTTATCAGGTATGCTTTCACTGCAAGAGGGTGGTAATATAGATCCAAAGAACGTTTTCTGTATATGGTCCAAACTCCCAATTTGAATTCCTATAATCATGATAACAGCTGTGGGTTAGGAGCACAGATCTTAGGAAACTAGGAGCATAGCAGTAAACTGAGTGTTAGGTAATTAACTGATGAGCCTGAGTATTCACTTACCTGACAGCAAACTAGGAAGATAAATAGGGTGACAGCTGTCCATAATACTTTTTCTCGGAACTGGATTTTCCTCTCTGGTTTTGCAATTTCTGGCAGTAAGCCACAAAATGGCTTGATGATCTCCAGGAACTTGACTGAAATAAATAACCATATCATTATACCTTGCAAGCATCATCACATAACAGATAAGCACGCAAATGCACTAATAATTCCCTCAATAAAATAACTCATTTATAAGTAAAATGAAAAGTAGGTCACAAAGTCTGAACAATTGGACACAAAGTTATTGTGTTTTTTATACCAAACTTTATTTAAGTGGCTGCAGGTTGACATTTTCAAGCTAGCATTTGCAATAAACACGCAAAAATAATCAAAATAAACCAATGCTGATACACATTCAGTCAGACGACGATGGAACGGTGACCTAGGTAACTGTTTGTTTCACGCCAATCAGCTTCACTGGAAAGCTCATAAATATGAAATGCTATAAAGGAAATACTTACACCCCATATTGTTCCTCTTATTTCCCTACACCATGCAATGTAAACACAAATTTGTACTTCACAATTGACAATCACAGCCGGCAACACACCGCATCGACCAACAGCTGACTCGCGAACGGAAATCGGCGACGGCGGCGGCCACTCATCGCGACGGAAACGGGTCCGTATCAAAGCGTCCAAGACCGCAGCACCCAAAGTACGCAACATCCAAAACCGCAGCGTCCAAAGTACGCAACGTCCAAAATACGTCCAAAATCGGGTTCATAGGGGGCATTCACAAAGTCCAAAACCGAAACATCCAAAACCGCAACGTCCAAAAACGTATCATCCAAAGACGCAACATCCAAAGTACGTAACCTCCAAAACCACAACGTCCAAGACCACGACATCCAAGGCACGCAACATCCAAAACCAACCTAACCTAACCTAACCTAACCTAACCTAACCTAACCTAACCTACTGATTTTTGCCTATCCCTAACCTAACCTAACCTAACCTACCCTAACCTAACCTACTGATTTTTGCCTACCGGGGATAAGGAAACCTAACCTAACCTAACCTAACCTAACCTAACCTAACCTAACCTAACCTAACCTAACCTAACCTAACCTAACCTAACCTAACCTAACCTAACCTAACCTAACCTAACCTAACCTAACCTAACCTAACCTAACCTAACCTAACCTAACCTAACCTAACCTAACCTAACCTAACCTAACCTAACCTAACCTAACCTAACCTAACCTAACCTAACCTAACCTACTGATTTATGCCTACCGGGGATAAGGAAACCTAACCAAACCTAACCTAACCTAACCTAACCTAACCTAACCTAACCAAACGGTTTTGGATGTTGCGTACTTTGGATGTTGCGTACTTTGGATGTTGCGTACTTTGGATGATGCGTCCTTGGATGATACGTTTTGGATGTTGCGGTTTTGGATGTTTCGGTTTTGGACGTTGTGAATGCTCCCTATATACCCGATTTTGGACGTATTTTGGACGTTGCGTACTTTGGACGCTGCGGTTTTGGATGTTGCGTACTTTGGATGCTGCGGTTTTGGACGCTTTGATGGTCCCCCGACGGAAACCTCCACGTAGAGATCACGTGACTAGTGACGTAAGCCACAGCAGAAGCACTTGGCACACGTCGTCACTAGTGGCCGCCATCTAGCGTTGTAAGTAGCCAAGTACAGTGAAATCTTCTCTCGCTAGGTGCCGCTACGGGTCTCAGAAGACGCCTGCAACCAATATACCCTGACTGCAACACGGGATCGGTCAAGGCCCTATATGGGATCGGTCAGCGATTATATGACCTTGGGTCAGCGGTCTAATGTTAACCTTCGTGAATTGTTGTTTTGAAGGGGAATCTGCAGAAGATTATTTTGATTTTTCAATTCATTCCGTCAGAAGTACAGTCTGTCTTAAAAGTACCGCGCAAAGTGACGGTGGATCCATCAAGCCTGACCGAGGAAGGCCTGCTATAATTTGAAAGTCACCGAACCAATGGAGCTGGGGAATGGACGAGGATGTCCATTGCTTCGGTGACTCAAATTTGGCAGTCCTTCATTGGTCAGGCTTGATGGATCCACCGTCACTTTGCGCGGTACTTTTAAGACAGACTGTACAAAACAGTACCTAAGTAAGCCCAACATATCCACCAACAAGATAGGCAATCTTCAACAAAGGTAAGTTAAAATTGGTTAAAATCGAATAGTTTACGGGGACGTTTGCCATGGGTGCGTGCTGATGGATGCCGATGTGGTGGCGGGCCGTAACTCGTGAGTCGTGATCATGAACCCGTTACGCTCAGATTTCCCGGGATTGTATAATTTGCTCTCCAAAGCCCCATTAGGTACTTTTTATCGCTGCCCCGATCAAAAGCTCATCGCTCATCCTATGTTAGGCTGAGAATCACTGGTCGGTCACCCCAGCCTCCCTAGGCCAGGCCCCTATGGAGGGGGTGGGGCTGGGTCGAGAGAGAGGGGAAGGCTGGACCCTTTTTGGCAAAAAGGGTTTTTTCAGTGTCGGCCAAAAAGCAGAGCGTAGACATGAGTCATTGGTCGGCACTGCTCATGCAGTCAACATTGTATCGTAGCTACCTGAGTACATACATACCGGGTATCGCCCTGATCACCGATGAAGGAGAGCTGACCAGTGAGTGACCTTGACCTTTCCTTTCCCCAGTAGCGCGGCAGAACACCTTCAATTGGGGGGGGGGGGGGGCACTGCCGAGTTTTGGTCCCATTCTTTCCAGGCAACGCCCATAGGGGCTAGGGCTAATGTTAAAATGCCTAAATCAAAGGGGGGCACGGTGCCCCGGTGCCCTCCCTGTTCCGCCGCCTATGCCTTTCCCATCCCAAGGCGCGCGACTGCACGCACGACCATGAATTTAGTGAAATCAAAACAGGGAACGACAGCAATCCAACACCTTTAGTGACAGGCTTCCTAGTTGAACGTCTCCGACTCCACCGGTGTATGCAGGGCTGCGGAGTCGGAGTCGGAGTCGGTCGGAGTCGACAGTTGTGACCGGAGTCGGAGTCGGAGCCGGAGTCGATTTTAGAAACCCGAGCCGGAGTCGGAGTCGGAGTCACCGAAAATCTGTCGACTCCGCAGCCCTGCTAGGTCTGCGGAGTCGGAGTCGGGAGTTGGAGTCGGTCGGAGTCGACAATTCTACCCGGAGTCGGAGTCGGAGTCGGAGCTGGTTTTTGAAAGCCGGAGTCGGAGTCGGAGTCGGAGTCGCCGAAAATCCATCGACTCCGCAGCCCTGGGTGTATGTGACCCCGAATCCCCGATGTCTATAAGACCAGGGTTGCGGACTGCGGAGTCGTACTCGGAGCCGGTCGGAATCGTAGTTGAGTTTTTTTTTTTTGGAAGCTAGGGTCGGCATAGCCCATAGGCACAGGGACGGGAGGGGGTCGGAGGGCCATGGCCCCCGCTTTTCAGCCATTTTTTAAAATATTTTTTTTTTCTATTTAAATTAAAAAATAAGAGCAGGAAATGATTCAGGAAGGTGAGATGAGCACAAAACTGCAAAGAATTTCTTCCTGGGTATTGGGGCTTCCACAAAGTGACATTGAAGTTTGGTTGCCCCCTCCCCCCTCCCCCACTTTTCGCGAGGTTCCTACGCCCATGGAATTCGGAGTCGAAGTCACCGAAAATTCAACGACTTCGTAGCCCTCCGACTCGGTAGACTCGAGCCCAGGTTCAGGACAGAATTGGGGCGCCTCAGATCCACTTGACTCTCGCACACAAGGAGGGCCTCGTCTAACATGTTAACTGGGAGGGCCAAACCCCCGCGCAGTCACCGGCCTGCCCCCCACCCCACCCCTTCCCCCCAGTCAGGGTAAAAATGTCACTACTGGGGGGCCGGCAAAAGCGAAAAGGCAAACGAATTTTTACTGCAAGGCGTCAGTGCACATAAAAACAAATGCGTAAAAGAAACATGGATGCAATGTGAGCACATTGATATACCCGATTACCTCTGACTGTTTTCACGTGTTTATTTTGTTTACCTGATACCATTGTTTTTCTTTCGCTCAGCAATACCGAATACGTTACATTTTGGATTTTCAGGCGACCTAACTCTGTGTCCCGCATATTCTCTTTCACGTATTCTCCTGTTGTTTCTGTCCTCGGGGCGTTAATCTGTTGTTTCTACCTATCGTCGTTCTCATTACGCGACGTCGAACTTCTGGCTGGACGGTCGCCGGTGTGCGGCAAGAGTAGCTCCTAATCGTAATGAAGCAGGCTCCCGTCTCTGCCACCCCCCCCCCATGGAAAATTTCTTAGACGAGGCCCTGCACACAAGAGAGCCCTTGAGTTTTGGAATGCGTTCGACCATTTCCAAACCATTCGATGACACTCCTAGCCGTTTAAAACCTTAACCTGCGCCCCGCTGGGCTATTCAGCCATACGCGCCCTGCTGGGGGGGGGGGGGGGGGGCAGATTCTGCCCCTGTCTAACTTCCGAACCGATGGTCTCGAAAGCTCTCAACAAGACGGATCTTAAGAGCCCAATTTTTTTTGCTTCAAGGTCAGAGGTCAGGTCAAGGGTACAAAATGCAAGTTTCTACATTATCGGCCTTGCACCGTAGTTGCCCAAGAATGGACTGAGACTGATTGCCCAAATCGTGTTATTAGGCTACCAAGACAATATTCGTTGCATAAAATATCCCGCGAGTTGCTGGGGGGGGGGGGCGTTAAACGCCCCCACTTTTTTCGCCGGGCCATAGCATAAAAACGGCGCGCCGCAGGCGCGCCAAAATTTGGGTACCTGTAGGGAATCGATTGAAGTTTATTGTGACAAAGTTTCAAAAAAATCGGTCAGAAAACTTTTGAGCTATCGAGGTTTTAGTGACGTCATGATTTCTGAGTTTTCGACCAAAAACGGCATATGCTCAAAAAATCATATAAAATCACAGAATAGACATACAGACATGCCGTAAACGCCATTAGACTGCCAATACCATGGACAATCAAATGGCTATCTTCGATTATTGATTAACGTTCTGCATTTTCCAAAATCTTGAACTGAATCTTGGCAATTTCTCGCGACTACTTCACGACCATGATACATACATTTCTTAAATTGAACTTTTTGAGCCAAACACGTACACATACGATAAAATGAATGTCACCATCGGGTTCTACGCCCCACATTACCCATAAAACATGTGTCGCAGGCTGCGAATATCAGTTTTGATTTTCGGGGATATGTGCCTACCCGGTTGACCTGACCTTGACCCTGACCTATGCTTGACTGACCCCTACATGGAGCTGACACTCTTGTAGGCCTTATATGATGGATTGTGCACCGTTTTGACAACGTTTATGACGAGAGGCGCCCAATGCGAAGCCCTGAAGTCCATGCTACTGAAAGCCCGATTTCAGGTGTTTGACCTGACCTTGACCCGACCTGTGACCTCAAAATTCAACTTTAAAGTACTCATCTGAAGCGTCTCGTCGCGCTCTTTCGTTTGCCGCCTCGTGCGTTTCGCTGCGCCCATTGGTTCTCGAGTTATCGGCTGGGGGCGTTTAACGCCCCCCCCCCCCCCAGCAAACGGTGGGTGGCGAAATACCCCAGCAACTGCCGGGTTAACATTCAAAGGTCAAGGTCAAGGTCAGGTCAGGTCAGGTCAGGTCACCAAAAGCAAAATATAGAAAACGGCATGTGCGACACATGCTTTATGGGTCATTTTATTTATAGAATTCAATA